AGCACTAATGTATATTTGATGTAGTCTCTTATGATTAATCATCCTTTCTAAAAATAACCATAAAAAATTAAAATATACATTATTAATGTACAGTAAAACCCCTCTATGTGGACATGTCCATATTATGAGCCCTTCTGGTCCGTCCAAGCTGTTTTTGCTGCAAATGCACCTGTTGAATGTGGACATATTTTTATTCTGGACTGTGGACACTTCTTTCCGGTCCCTGTATTATACATAACCTCTGTACAGTGAATATTTGTTTAAAGCTTGCTAGACTGTTTTCATTCAGTCAAATGCAGATGTGTACGTATATGCTGATTTAATTCGCACAACGGATATATCGCAAGAAGCAATAAATGAACAGCTACTACTACTAAATGTCATTTAAGAATCAGGCAGTAACAGATGGCTAGGCAGAACAGAATAGAAGAGATATGCGACATAAATACTAAGTAGAGAGGAAAAGAGTGAACTGAATATATATATTTTTCCATGCAATCATCAGTCAAGTCAATTCAAAACCGTCAAAAAAGTTCTATGATTACTTTCTTCGGAAAAAAATTACTGAAATTTCAGATTTTTGATGATTTATGGTAGAAGTCATTTTCGTGAAGTTTTATTAAAACTAGTTTTCAACAAACTATGATCTAAAGTGTTCTAAAAACGGCTCTTTTTTGAAAACAATATGAAGGATACGACTTTAATATTCTCCGATAACAGTAGAAATACTTGCCAAAGAATAGTTAAAAACCTCTGTGAAGTGGACATCTCTTTATAAGAGACACTTTTGAATGCTCCCTTGGGTATCCACTATACAGAGGTTATACTGTATTCTCACATCTAGAAATTAATTTAACACTCCTGAAGACTATTCGGGGTGAAAATATAGCTTTTAACCTTTATTTGATTGCAATATTATTTCCGAGAGTTGATCATCACCAATCTAGACACATAAATTAATAAGTGCTACAAAAGACTAGACATGGTCTGGGTTGAGCCCCATCACCCTTGAACTACTGGTTACGCCACTAATGTCAAAAGACAGGAAATTTTGGTCTTTTTGGAACTGTCTACTACTTAAACCGTTCTCATCGTCGCTGTCCCTACATTACAGAATGAAAAAAAAGCGCTTTATCAATAGATATGTCTTTTCTCTCTACTTAGTCAAGAATAGTGAAACAAAACACGATCCAAGAATTCTGTTATAAAGATACAAATTAAACTCCTAGAATATTAGGGAACGAAACGTTTGCAACAGGATGTGGGTGTGGATATAGGTTTGGGTGACGGTGATACTCTTTTCTTCACTCACACCCACCCACATCCACACTCTCACCCGAACAATCATACTTCAACTGTATTTTATCGTTCCTTATATAGTATCGCGAAAGAGTATTGAATCTGAGGACAAACACCTAGACGGGCAAAGTTCGATTGCCACAAGTGCAAATCGATTCCAGAACATAGAAAGAAGAGAAAAAGAAAGTTGCGGACATTTTGCTAAGAGTACTTATTCAGGGAGAAACGTTTTAGAAGGAAAAGTGCATATTATTCGAGGCCAACCAACAAATCGGCACACCGGCTGCCTATTCCATCTCGATATCATTTTTCAGCTAGAGTAAGACGACGAAGTCTGAGATAAACTCAAATTTCAATACTCAGCTGGCTGAACAGAATGTCGAGGACTCATATCTTTAGCGCGAGTATATGTAAACGTTAGTTCTAGTCTGTTAAATACATCTGAGAAATTATTTATCACACAATGTATGGCATCGTTTGATAGATCGAGCAATTTAAAAATGGTACTGCTGAATTCTCGGACATCCAGGCACATAAAATGCTCAATGATCTACATTTAAATAGTTTCGAATACGTTACTTCCGACGTACCACCAGATTTAATGTATCCTCTTTTATCAGAAGGACGGTCGCTTCTAATGGAAATGGTATTTGATAACAGTTTACCTGAAAGTACAATACTACTAAAGGTTATAGAAGCAACAAATTTTGGAGCATTTAGTCGAACAGAAAAAATGCTTGCAGAGAACAATATTGTATATGATGAAGACGGGCTCTCTACCATTTCAGACGAAGCAGAAGTAATCAAGATTTTATTTCACGTCATAATATTACGTTATTCACAAAAGTATCGACGAGCACTAGAGATTTTGGAATCTATGAACAACGTTTTCGACGATCATTCCAATGGTCCTCAACGTTTGTTATTTTTATTGGAAAAAGGTTTTTGTTTAAAACTCATACGACTTGAAACAAAGTCTTATTTGATTGATCACAACAATATGAGAAATAATGACAAGATCAGAGAAGAACCTTTCTTGATTATTAATTTATTAGAAGAAGCAATGAACGTGGCACGAACAAAATTGTCAACATCAGACAATTCCGCAAGGGAAATAGTTTTTGACATACAGACTTTAATAATAGAGGAATATATGGAACTGAAACAGAATGCTTCTGTAGACGAACAACTTCGCCAAGTAACCTATGTCGGTAATCCAATATTTAAAACGTATTTTTGGTTACAGATCGCTAAACATAAACTAGAAGAGAATAATGTCGATGATTTCCACTCAAGTTTAGATGTGGCTAGTTATGCAGTACTGAATAATGACAATGTGTTATTAATTTGTGAATATTATTTATTAGGTGCAAAAGCATGCTTCGACGAACTCAATTGTAAAGATTTTCTTATATGTCGGGAAAAGATCGATAAACTCCTGTCAAAAACATTGTTTAAAAATGATTATTCATCTAGCACAGCTGCAGTTTCCTTATACAGTACAATAATCAGCTCATGGTATGATCAGTATGAAGCTTTATGCATTGCTTTTGCAGATAAATTATTGAAACCATTACAGATTAGAAATACGACTTTCGAGCGTTGCCCAGACCCCAAGTGGTCCAGAATGATGAGACGTGAAGCTTTTCGAACAGCCGACTGGAGGAACATGCGTGGTTATATCACCGAAGAAATGGTTTTAGCTAATTTGTTTCATTTAGAAAGCAAGACTGTCAAAATACCGAAAACAGATGCATACTTAACATACAAAATAAATGGTCTTTATGATGAAGGAAAAATTGATTGCTTAGTGTTTTCATCCGACTTTTATGATCTCGTACCTACCGATAAAATACTTAATAGCGAGAACTTATTAAAACAACTCTCTCCCGTATTGAAAGATGTTGGTGAAGAACATAAGTTTGAACAAAATATTAGTCAAATTAAAGCTGAATATCCAGACATTTATGCAGATTTTCTTCTACCTGTCGAGAACATCCTCAACGCTCATTCTATCGCGAATATAAAAATTGTTTCAGAAGTTGATTTTCATCGTAAAATATTAGGTAAGGCAGCAAAACAAATGACCAAAAACGATTTGGCCATACCATCAGGACACTGTTATATTCAGTACTCGTCGTGTACACTGAGAGCAAACGATACAATCTATTGCTATGTGATTTTTGGTCGACAAAACATAGAATTTGAAGCAATTGATCTAAAGAAATATGATCTCACAGTAGATGATTTTCTAGAAGATATATCCTTTATGGCTGAAGGTTTCGATGAAGTTCCAGAACAAGAATCAGCATCTGAACAAAATACTGAAAGTCAAGAGGAAGAAAATAAGGTAACTATAGCAGAAGAACGATTAAAGACATTACGTCGAAAGTTTTTCAAAATACTTTTCGAACCTATAATGGTGCACTTGGAAACAGTTACATGCCTGAAAATCATTGCCGAAGAGCAACTGCAGTATATACCTTTTTCCAGTTTATTAATATCCGACGACGATGAAATGTATCTGATAGATAAATTTGAAATTTCATTTGTTCTATCAGTTGGCGTTGATCAAATTTTTCAGCTAAACGTACCAAGTTCACAATCTAGTGTATCATGCAAATTAGAAATATTTAATACAGAAAAAATACATCCAGAATTAGAAGAAAAGTATGATTTGGGATATTCCTTAACTGATATAATCGATAGGCTTAAAAACGAAAACGTTCGATTTGAATCACATCCACGAGCGACAAAAAAAGAAGTAGATATTTTCTTCGATTGCAGAAAACATTCACAACCAACGATATTTCATTATGCTGGTCATACATTTTTCAATGAACAAGAAATGCAAGATCCATACGCATTGAGCGGTTGTATGATTTTGCAGCATGAAAATGGCAAAAAATATGTCGATAGCATGCTCTATTCAAATCAAATAGCTAAATATGATTTAAGAAACATAAAGTTAGCCGTCTTAAATTCATGCAGTACATTCAAAGGTATGTTTAAATTTCCTTCTGCAGAGAATATTGCCTATATATCGTGTTTTTCAGCAGAATACGTCAGACTAAAAATCGTTCTCTGAGATTATCTAAACCATATTAAATATAAATTGTTTTAGCCTGTTTCACTTCCGCATCTAGATCTGTATTGAACTGAATTGAATATATACATGCAGAAGACAACTCTCTTCTTCTTAAGAAAATACGATGAACAATCACATATTTCGGTAGTTCAGTCACACATGACGATTACAACGATAAAGAAATAACTTGAGCAATACTATCAAATTTATAATCTCGGCATTGTTATTTGTGAGGGTGAGGGTTTACTGTACGTAGATCAAATGCTATTCTATCAACTGACGAAAGAATTTTATAAAAAGTACGTACCAAAAAAAGGATTGGGCAAAATACAAAAATCTGTCGCGAGCTGATCCAAATCAGTTCAAGTGGGGCAATTGAGATCAGGTGCGATTTTGAACAGGGTAATTCGGATTCGCCCAGCTAAAATCCGGCTGACTTATTTTCCTGTGTGGTTACTCATTTGTTATTCACATATATTCATTAAAAAAGATAATACCATTCGATAGCTCAACATCTCTTCTATGAGACCTAAAAAATCTCGATGACGGAAGAAACTAATATAAGGATTATACGTTCAACAATGACATCTCTGTCGGACACTGCTAAAAAGTTAAAAATCGATTTGGGGTAATTCGGATCACTTAAGGCAGTTTAGGTGGGGTAATTCGAATCAACTCAGTCATTTTTTCTAAAGATTATTTGTGAAATTTTATCACCTTTAAGATGCAGAATTGACTCGTTTTCATTGAAGAAAAGTTGCACAGAACAATTTCATGTGTCAGCTTAGCATGTGAAAACTAAAACGACCTTCAGCATGATTGATAAAATTGCTTTTACCAATTGAATGCGTTCTTCTCGTATATTTCTAAGGAATTTTTCAAATTATTGAAATAAATCAGAAATTTTATAACATTAACTTGTTGTATACGATATAAAGATAATCGCACTACAAATTGCCAGGAGATTGGAAAACTAGTTTTGTATACTATTATAATCTGCCTCTTTTTTTGTGTAGAGTAAATGTAATAAGAAAGGTTAAATGATATCGTCGCCTCATGCCTAGATAAGTGAACGCTAGGAAAACAATTTCGTATGTCAAATAGTGGCGTAACCACACTAGGGCCAGCTGGGGCTCGAGCCCTATCACCTTTACTTTAAAAGTTACTGAGTTTGGAAATCAAAACGAATGAAATTCATTTAGGGCACTGTTAGCTCGCCCTGCGAGCGAAATGTTTATTTAGAAAAGAGAAAATAAAAAACTAAACTGGTCATACACA